CTAAATGGTTTCTAAAAATCTGTCTTCTCTCATGGTTTGAGTCTAACATTTCCCAGTCTATATGCAAAAATTAAAATCCCCCATAATCATGAGCTCACTAAAAGCTGAAATCTTAATCTTGTGTAGAGTTTCTCATTAATTTCATCTAGTGGTCTGTAATATATTCCAACTAAAAGCCTTCTCCCCTTTCAACCACTAATAGAAATCCAAAGAGGTTCAACCACCTTGTATTTGCTTTGATATCTTCAACTTTAACAGTATGCAACTCCCACCTTGCTCATAAAACCACTCCTTTCCCTCTTTTTATTATTCTAACCTTATTAAACAACCTATAACCCTGTATTTCGAAGAAATTCTTGCCATCAAAATGTTCTACATTTAATCATGTTTCAAATATTCCCATTATGTCCTCTGCTCTTATGTCCAACTGTTCTTATACTTCTAGCATTAAATAATAACAGTTTTGCCTACCTTTAAATCTACTTCTGTACTTTGTTCCTACATTTCTTTTCTCTACATCTTATTTTTCATTCATTTAGGTTATTCTGGACCTCACCATTGTCTAATCCTAGTTTAAAGCTGCCCTTGTAAATAAGCCAGCCCCTACCCTATTCCAATAAAAAACATTGATTCCAAAAAGCTTCATTTTCCTATTGAACAGATATCAAGTCCAATCAGCCAGCCTGCTCATCCTTATATATTAACTTAAGCCAGAATAATGAAGAAAAATAAAATGTAGTGAAAATAATTAGATTATGCTATCCAGGTGGAGGATATAACCAAAAGAGTGAGTGGTATAGTAAAGGGTGCTAGCAGTGATGCAGTCTTTATAGTGCATATCGGGGGCTAATGATGTATAGAAGGGTAGATAAGAGGAGCTAATTGGTAAGTACAAGGCATTCACAGAAAATTGACATAGCTTAATTATGCCAGAGATACTGCTAAGACTTAAATGTGAAAATGAATTTATAAGGTCAATAAAGCTGAATGCTAGGTTTGGGTTAATATGTAAGGACAAGTAGTTTGGCTGTTTGAATTTATGTCATTTCAGGGGTAAAAGGGAGCTTTCTGGAATGCATGATTTACATTTAAATAGGACAGGGTCTGGCTTGTTTACAAGAGCTATTTACTCAACTATAAAAGCAGCTTTAAACTAGGACTAGACAGTGGTGAGGATCAGAGTAATGAAGAAAAGACAAGGCATAGAGAAAAATATGGTGTATGAATAAAGTACAAAAGTAGTAGGCTAAGCTGTTGTTATAATATTAGAAGTTTAATAAATAAAACATGTGACTTTAGAGTGCTGGATGAAACAGAGGATTTTGATGTAATGTGAATGAATAAAACCTGATAACAGGAATGTCTTTGAAATACAACTGTAGGTTGTTTAATAGGGATAAAATACTAAAACAAAGCAGGGAAGAGGTTTTATATATAAAATGTAAGTTACATCCCATTCACCTGGGGGATATCAAAGCCAATAGCCATGAGGTTGAATCTGCTTTGGTTTCTGTTAATAGATATAAAGGGAGAAGGCTTTTAGTTAGAATTTATTATAAACCACAAGATGAAACTGATGAAATTAATGAGAAACTCTACAATGAAATAAAGAATTATTCAGCTATTCATGAGATTATGATGATGGAAGATTTAAATTTCAAGCATATACATCAAGGAATATTAATCAAGTCTTGAGGGAGACAGATTTTTCAGAAACTGTATAAGGAACAACAGTATTTTAAATTTTTGGTTAATTTCTAATAAAGAAATGATCGACTGGCTGGAATTTGGGGAAAATCTGTGTACAAGTGATCACTGCTCAATTATATTTGATGTTTTCATGCATAAAGAAATAAGGAATAATGTTAGTTTAGTTCCCAATTTCAAAAAAAGCAAAATTTGAAGAGCTGAGACAAGAATTATCTGCTGTGATCGAGCAACTTTATTAACTAGATACAGATCAAATGTGGGAAAATTTTAAAATTGAAATGTTTAATATTTAAAAGAGGAATGTTGTTTTTTTATAGAAAAATACAGATTGCTGCACGTAAAAATCCAGAGTGGTTAACAAAGGGTATAAAGGATAAAATTAAAGAAAAGCATTATAAATATAAAATATTTAAATTCACTACAATGATGGGACATTTGGAGGATTAGAAAAAATCAAGAGAGTTTGTCAAATGGGAAGATAGGAAATCAAAAAGGAACTGTATGAAAAAAGGTTGGCTGAAAATGTAAAAATTAATAGCATGGATTTCCTTAAACATATTAAGGGTAAGCAAAATGTTAAGATGTGAGTAAGGCCTCTGAGGGATGATACAGAAAGGCTAATATCTGGTGATTATGGGATGGCTGAGTTATTAAATTTGACTTTTTGTTAAAGTCTATTAATGAAGATTTAAACAACATTCCTCATCCTGAATAGCTGCTAGATAAAAACATGATCAAACAAGATGATCACATCAATTCTGAGCTTGTTAAGGTAATATTTACACAAGGGTTTTGAAAGAGGTTAAGGACTGGATATGCGAGCCATTTGCTACTATTTTTTTTTCCAAGTCCTTCAATAGAGGGTGGGTGCCAAAAGATTGGAAGCTAGCTAATGTTACTTCTCATTTCAAGAGAGGTGATGAAATTTGTCCCAGTAATTACAGATATTAGTCTTACATCAGTGGTGGGAAAAGATTTTGTAAATCTGATAAAATATGCTTTGCAAAGTCATTTAACAAAATTATAAATTTTGTTTGATAGTCAGAATGATTTCATTACAGGAAAATTCTTCCTCACTAATATTTAGACATTCTTTGAAGAGATTACTGCTTATGTAGATTAGGGTACAGTCAGAGATGTGGTATACCTGGATTCTCAAAAAGCATTTAACAAGGTGCTGCATAAAAGTTCTCTATAGGTGTGTGGGATAGGTTGTCTAACTGGACAGAAAACTGGCTGGATGGAAGAAAGCGGAGAGTTGTTATAAATGTAGTTCAGTCAAACTGAAAATATGTTACGAGTGAGGTACCTCAGGCCCGAGTGCTCTCTTTGATTTACATCAATGACAGATAAATGAATGATCAATAGATTATTTAAACTTGCTAATAACATTAAAGTTTTAGGTGTTGCTGGCTGTTAGGAGGATGTTACTGCCTTACAAAAGGATTTGGATTATATGTCAAGTTTGTTGAATAAATGGAAGATGACTTTTAATTATAACAAATGCAAGATAATGCATGTGAGACATCACAATATGAGTTATGAGTATAATTTTTATGGGAGTAACCTTAACAGTGTTATGGAAGAAAAAGACCTTGGTGTTCTGGTTGTTTAGTCTCTTAAGCCATCCAAGCGATGTACTGTTGTTAGTAGAAGGAAAAATAAGTGTTTATGTTGCACCTACAGAAATATTGAATACAAGTCAAGAATGGTTATAATATTAATGTACAGGTCATTGGTTACACCAAATTTGCAGTACTATATTTATTACTGGGTTCCTTACCTAATAAAGAACATTGAACTGTTGAAAAATGTTCAGAGGATTGCTACTAGGATGATACTCAATATAAAAAGGTTGTTATATGGGGATATATTAAGAGTTCAGAAATTGTTTTCTCTGGAAAAAAAGAAGAGTTAGAGATAATCTGATTGAGGTGTTTAAGATTGTTGTTGATGATGATTATTATTTTTTTTTTATTTAATGGTGAAAATGGTAAGACTAGGAGACATAAATAGAAACATGGGCAGGGTAGGAGTCATCTTCAGCTAATACAGCTTCATTTTTTTAACTGGGTGGTTGGCCTTTTAATTGGATTGCCTTCAAATTTTGTACATCCAGTTAATTTAGGAGTTTAAAGGAAGGCTTCATAAATATTTGAATGATAAAAGCTGGCTTTGAGTGCTTTATTTCTATTTTAGAGTTTAGTACAGTAGATGGGATTGGCCTAGATGAAACAACAAGTCTCTTTTCCTTAGATTACATGTTACTGTTTCTTGGTAGATACCCCTGTTTGGCTCATTTGGACTATTGTGTTCACTCTTACATAAGAAGAACATTGAATTACTGGAAAGGGTTCAAATGTGGGTTACTATGATGATTCCTGGGATTGAGGGGCTGTCATATGAGGGCAAGTATTTTTTCTTGAGAAAAGAAAGGTTAGAGGGAACCTGATTAGTGTTTAAAAACTATAAAGACATAGGATTGATGCATCATCTTTTTTTTTGTTTCTTTAATAGCAAAAATGGTAGGACTAAGGAACACAGATTTCAGACTTAGCAGGATAGAAGTTGTCTGCAAATTAGGCTATTTTAATTTTGTTAACAGGGTGGTCAGACTTTGAAGTAGATTACCTTCATATATGTTGATGCAAAATATTTGTGATGGTTTAAGAGAAGACCTAATGAATACTTTACAAATCAGGATTGGATACAGGCTAATGGATATTAGATGAAGGTAAAGGGACACCTACAATGGGCCAAAACAAAGGGCCCTTCACTGTCTGTCAAACATTATTTTAGGTTACAAGATTATTTGGGAAATCAGGGGAAAGGCTTCTGATTTCTTTGTGGTATATTCTGAAATAACAGAATGAGACAACGAAAGTTATGATCTGGTAAAAAGAAAGATGATGTTCCACTTAATACTGTTTTATTTTTTATATCAAAGTGATTAACTTGTGGAATGAGCTGCAGTTCTCAGCAGCTCAATAGCTGGAGACTAACAGTTTTAGATGGAAAATGATAATTTCTTATCGAATAAAGGTGGGTTTAAATTCTTATTTTTCTCAAGGGTGTGTCCAAGCAAAGCACTGAAAGTTACAAATGGGCTCTTGTTGACTATATGTTATGTTATCCTTTGAAATCAATGCTTTATCAATATCAGCTCATGTACCTCTGGGTTTTTAACTTAAATTCTAAGTAAAACTAATTCCAAACAGATAGCTACTAAAAAAAATATATATATTAGTAACTAGGCTGTAATTTGTAAACCACTAAAGTAAAATAATTACCTGAAGTCATGTCTGATGAAAGTTCTTTTAACGGTGATGGGCTGGTTTCCCCAGTCCTTGTAGTACTACTAATACTAGTAGATGGAATGGTAGAAGAAAGAGTAACTGGCACACATCTCCGGCGTTTAGTTTGTCTTTCACTGTTTGGACTTAATGGATCCCATTCATTTGATCTTTTCAAAGTTGCACAAGCCATAATTTGTTTATTTTAGTAAAGTATTATTAAACTAATATCAAAAGCATAGAAATAAATATTTATTATAATTATCGGATAGCCAAGACTATGTTTCTACTAACACTGCTAATATACATCTGTAACTTCGCGAATTTAAATGTAGGCCTACAATATATTACGTCTCTTAGCCTATCAAAAGTATCAGTAAGAAATTGCCCAAAACGCTAAAAGTAAAAGTAAAATAACAACTTCTATAGCTTTCAAGTTTCAGGACTTTTTTAATTTCAAACTTTTAGGTGGTATAATATGGAATTTTCGTGTCTCAGAAAAAGTAAAAAAAAAAAAGTAATTATTTTTTATTATGATATACGTTATACTAATATGACGTTTTCTAAATAATAAATGTAAAGTTAATTCAAAAAGTAAGCTGCGACCAACAATAAAATTTACACTCATTATCTACGCAATTTTAAATTTAAAAGCACAAACTTAATCGCAACAAACTATCTAATTAAACCTTGTAAAAACTAGAAAACAATCCCAAACAATACATTTCAACAGATGTAATCTCTCTGATATTTATTATTTACCACACTATGTTTTTAAATGATGTTTTTGAACGAAACTTGTTTGATGTATATTAGTACAAAAGTACACCATACGGGTGTTTTAAATTAAATTCTTCTTTTCTTTTCAGATTTTGCTTCCTTATTTCAATTTTGCTACATTATTTATACACACGGTTAAATAATAAGTTTTTTTCTATATGGCACTTTTAGGTGTTCGTACGCATGGGTGTCTATCAGCCCTAGAGCCTATGAGAAGGTCATCCCAAATCTTGGTGTGTGCCCATAATAATTATTTAATAATTTAAATTTTAATAAGCATATTTATTACTCAACAGCATTCGCAAAACATATCTTTATATCTTATCTACATATATAATAGCCAAATGTCTGTGTTTGTCTGTCACGCTCTGTTTCGGTCTCCGTATGTACTGAACGGTCAATTTGAGAAATCTTATTAACAACAAAAATGTTACTTTTTTGCGACGAAATTTAAAAAAAACAAAAAAAAACGGAACTTCCTCCATCAACTGATTGAAAAAAATATTTCATAACACGACATAAGGTTTTGGAACAACATGAGACCTATTGGTCCATCTTAGTTGTTCCATCCTCTAAACTAAATTAAAATAAATTTAAAAAAATCTTAAAGCCAGCCCTTATCATTTATATGCTTATCAAGTTTTTCTTAAACTCACGTAAATTTACTGCCTCTACAACATCCGAAGGCATCCCATTCCAAATGCCAACCATCCTGTCTTAGCTGAAGATGACTCCCACCTTGCCTAAATTTATATTTGTGTCCCATAGTCCTACTATTCTCACTGTAAATATTAAAAAAGATGATGCATCAACAATATCAATTCTCCTTACAACCTTAAACATCTCAATCAGATCCCCCTAAATTTTCTTTTTTCAAGAGAAAACAATTTGAGGGATTTCAGCCTTTCGTCGTATGACGGCCCCTTCATCCCAGGCACCATTCTAGTTAGCCTTCTCCGAATCCTTTCCAACAATTAAATGTCTTTCCCAAAGTAAGGAGTCCAAGACTGAACATAATATTTCAAATGTGGTCTAACCAGTGACCCGTACAATGAAAGCATAACCTCTTTAGACTTGTATTCAATATTTCTATAGATACAACCTAAAATCCTATTTGCCTTACCTCTAGCAACAGCACACTGCTTGGATGGCTTTAGAGACTGACCGTCTATTACACCAAGATCCCTTTACTTCATAACACTGATAAGGTTATTCCCATCCAAATTATACTTGTAATTCGAATTACGATAACCCACATGCAGGAACGTCGAGAGCCAGTACGGGCCCAGGGGCAAACATCCTCGCCGAGCCCCGTTTCTCTCTCTCTTTTTAACATTTTCTAGAATTTATTAAAAAGAAGATCATAAATTAGGACAGCAACGAGCTCATAAACCAGACAAAATCATAGGAGCAGCCGTTTTTACCTCACAGTATAAGCGTAAAAACGTTAATAAAATTACAACAAATATCTATTAAATCTATAAAGTAACAAATGCATATCAATTATTACTCAAATTATTATTTCAGTCGTTCTTAATGTACCAAGCGTCTATATGGAAAGAAAAGCCAAAAACTATGGTTTTTATCATTAAATGAAAATATAGCCTAAAAATGCTTTGCGGGCTTTACGGCATAACCAGGTTTCATTCGTCCGGCCCCTGGGCAGTTACACCTTTTGCCCCCTTGTCGGCGGGCCTTTCCACATGTATTATTATTTATTATAATTAAACCACATCTGCCACTTACTTGCCCAACTCATTACACAAAATGATCTAAATCCTTTTGTAGATCAGCAGCATTTTATTCAGAGCTAGCAACAACCAAGACCTTAATATTATCTGCGAATTTATGTAACTTAGTGATTATTACTTCATCTATGTCATTGATGTAGATCAAAAAGAGCAAAGGTCCTAAGACTGAACCCTGAGATACCCCGCTTTTGACATTAATCCAGTTTGACTGAACTCCTTTTGTAACAACCCTCTGCTTTCTTGATCCAGCCACTCTTCTATCCAATTTGCAAATTTATCCTCCATACCTATATATATATTG